AAGCAGAAAGAGAACTGTTGAAGACCAGGCTCAGCCAAGGTTAGCTTCAATTCGGGCCTACTTCTTCTTTTACAATTGTGACGCTGCGAGCAAACCTCTGGTGAGTGGATCGAAAGTGACAACTATTTCGTGCACTGAGGCGGAGTGCCCTTTCTATGCACAGTGGTACTCGGTGTAATGAATGCAACAAAAACTGCCTGTAGAGGTCATTCACATTACGAAAGACAGAGAATACAGCAATTTTCCTAGGCCACAAATGCATATAAAGGCCGATTTCATCAAAAATGAAATTCACTGCTTGTACAGATGATAAACAACCAAAGGGCATCGAAAAAGGACCAACAGTACATCATTTTGGAATAGCAGCTACAGCAGCGCGCCTAAGGACGCCTACTTGGAAAGAAAATATAAAGACACCTACTCGGAACAAAACAGCCTTACTCTTGAGACAGAAAATCTCAATTTCTCGAGAATGGCTAAGACTTTATAGAATCAACAGTTACCGTTCACGAAGAAAACTTCAACATGTTTTTTTCAAGGGTTTTTTGAGAAGTTAAAACAGATAGCGGCACCGAAATGTTTTAGGCATGTGCTCAGCAATCTACACCAGACCAAGTGGTTTGTTTTGCTTAGTGAAGAGACTGTTTCAAGCGCTGGAGCCAGAAAACTACACATCAGGAACCAGTGAACCGGAAACATTGTAAGCATTGAGCAAAAAACATATTTTATTCCTCAAAACATGAATTTCGCGTGCGCCAGGCATTATCAGCGACTCTGAGTAGCAAGAAGACGAGAGATATGAATTATGATACACACTAAAAAATAATGTCAAATTATTACAAAAAAAAAAAATTAAAAAAATAGACGAACAGGAATATTCGAAATTACTCGGCTTCAGAACAAACATCGAATCAGGCGCTTCTTCGAGCGACAGAATTTTCGTTCCATTAAGGATCTCTCATTGACTCTTCGCAAACAAAACGGGTGGGAAATTGGATAAAGAGGAATGTTTTGTGATTACTTAGCTTCAGGATGGTTCCCGAATCAGTTTCGTCCCCAGGGGGGGTCGAATTTTTGATCCATTCGGAATTTCCCATTGACTAATCGCAAGCGAAACGTGCAAGTTGAATTTTAGAGAAGGAAGACTTACGTGCTCGATGACTCGACCCACTGGGCAGCGGCCCCAAGCATATTCTTCATATTGTTCATGTAGTTCTGTGCTGGATACAGTAACGGGTCATAGGCTGCCGCTGCGGCGGCCACTTTTTGATGAGCGGCAGCAGCGCTAGCCGCCTGATTGACGTGCTGATTCCAGTAGGGCTGTACGGCTGACGCATCATCGGTGCCTTGCCAACTCGGATACATCAAACTCGGCCGCCTCAATGCTCCCGCTTTCCCTATAAGCAAACTCAACAACTCAGAGGAGTTCTTGGATTCCGACGTTGCTCTTCATTTTATTATTATTAGCTTTAGTGCAGAATTAGCACTTCGTGCAAACAGCTTTCACGCGTACGATGAAATTAAATTTGCATGACGTACAAGTTGCGAAGCGCAAGCAATGAAACGTGATTACTGCGGTCATAAAACTAAACGACTCCCTCCTCCATCCCTCACTTGTATAACAGTATCTCCTCCTACCCTCCCCCACTCGTCCCCATACCTGTCTCCTCATCACTTCAACCCTACCTCACTAGCTGCCGAAAGCGAGGTCGCTGCCTCGCTGCGAGCCAGGCAAACCAATAGTACCGCTCGTAAGCCACCTCTAATGAGAATATAATAGGTGATGCTGCCTGGTGCTGCTGCTGCTACTGCTGCCCGAGGATTAAGAGGGGGAGGGAGGTACAGGCGGGGAGGGAGGTGCTCGCTGCAGCCGGCTGCGGGTTGTGCACTCGTCGTTGTCGTCGTCGTCGTCCTCCTGATCGCTTCGGAGTCGCACGCGCCTCTCTGCGCTTAGTCTCCATCTCTGTCACTGTCGGCAACATCAAAGAGACCCCGCCCACCACCCGCACCGGTGAGCCAATGAGAGCGTGGCTCTCGGAAGAGCTCTTTGATGTGTGCCGCCGACTGGCTTCCGAACCCATAAAACAATGTCGTAAATTTTTATTCATAGCTCTGTTGCTGACGGGCCTTGCTGCCGCTCCCGCCCTTTCCTGGCATAACCGCGGTCTTCCGGACACTCAAACCGTCCTGCATTTTTTTGTTCCCGTTCACCAACTTGGAAATACCCATGTTTTGGATGTGCATTGGCAGACATGGCATTCAAATATACTCACTGCTTTGTTGTACAGTCCAGGTGGGCCTTGCGGTCACGTTTATCAGGGTCAAAAAAAGTATCATCTCTACAAAAGCATTTCAGTTCGCTGATTATGAAGATCACATTCAGCGCTCTCGATATTTCACTGTGGCGATTTTGCCTGCATTAGCAATAACAGGCAAAATCGCCACAGTGAAATGCGCCCCGGTGATCCCTACGAGGAGTGTATGAACAATTGAAGTCATGAAGATTAGCAGCTTTCTCTGGAAGGATGCGGGAAGCAACGACAGTGATAAGCAAACTGGCTATTAAGCCGTAATAAAACGAGAGCCGTCGTGAAATGAAAATTTATGACCGCCGTCCTCTTCCTTGCTCTGAGCGATCGCGCAGATGGGAACATACGATTCAGATTCGTATCATCGCAACCTGTAAAAAGAACTCGACCTGAAGTGACCGTCTCGAATCGACCACCCAATGTCTTCTCCATCGTCGTCCATTCGGTATTTGCACACCAAACGCTCGTTACTCCACGTCATTCTACGTGACTATACAGGAAGTCCTCCACCACGGAACATGAGCGCCCTATAACCAGCTGCGCTAAAGGAAAGGCAGCGATGTCTCTGTCGGCCTATTTTTACATCACAGTTACTAGTGGGGACTACGCGCCATAGGTTACTAACGGGATCTGAAAAACCAATTAACGGGATCCACTATTCGTTTCAGCTGTGCCGAGTAACCTGGAGTTTCCCACGACTTCATATCGATAATGTCTTAATATTCGTGGGATTACTTGCTTCGTATTTACTGCTACTGGGTGCGTGTTGGTGCAGTTCTGTCACCGAGTTGCACTAATCCCCTGCAAGCAGTGAAATCGGAAGGGTTCTTGACTTTTTTGGTGCGCGACTAATTTGACGGAGATAAGAGTTCGACCAATTTTGCTTTTATTGCGTTCTGTCTTTAATAAATGGCAACGCGCACCAGACTAGCCGGTGCGATCATGCGTTTTGTGCAATTCATCCCATCG